CAAATGCAGGCCAGGAGGGGCCACACGTGCTGCAACACTTCGTCATGCTAGCTAGCAGCACGTGCGTGTGCTCCGACTATTTGCTAATACAGGCCAGGAAAAGCCACACGGGCTGCAAGGGTTGCATGCCATGGCACACAACGAGCTCTGGCTTTGCAGGCTGTGAGCAACCTGCATTAAGAGGGATCGTATGCCTGCAAGCTTCCCTGGTACCAGCAAGACAGGTTCAGTAGCTGCCGCGGCTCTTGCCTGGCTGCTCCTCGGTTGGTAATACTTGCCTTGCTGTTTCATGCTTCGACCCATAATCGTGATACTGTCAGGAATACCTGCATGTTGGAAAGGTGGAAAAAGAGTAAAGTATAGTTATTAAACACAAACAAGCAAGAATGGAACAAAGTAAAGAAACGGAATGGGTATGGAGCAAGAGCGAGGAAACGGGATCGAGCAAAGGAACGGGATCAAGAGAGAGAACGGAATCAAAAGTGGAAACAGGATCAAGAATGGGAGCGGGATCAAGAATGGAAATAGAAGCGAAGGGAACGGGAGAAAAAGAGAGGGAAAGGATATAAACATGAGCGGGGAACAAGCGAAAGCGGGAACGGGAGCAAAGTGGAGGTAAGCAAGAACAGGTGAAAAAGAAATGGAATGGGTATGGAGCAAGAGCGAGGGAACGGGATCAAATGAGGAAACGGGATCAAGAAAGGGAACGGGATCAAGAGTGGGGGCGGAACCAAGAGTGGGAATGGGATCAAGAATGGGAGCAGGATCAAGAATGAAAATAGAAGTGAGGGAATGGGAGAAAAAGAGTATGAACACGAATGGGGAATAAGCGAAAGCGGGAACGGGAGCAAAGTGGAGGAAAGCAAGAACAGGCGAAAAAGAAACAGAATGGGTATGGAGCAAGAGCGATCAAGCGAGGGAACAGGATTGAGCGAAGGAACGGGATCAAGCGAAGGAACGGGATCAAGAGAGGGAACGGGATCAAGAGTGGAAACGGGATCAAGAGTGGGGGCGGGACCAAGAGTGGGAACAGGATCAAGAATGGGAGCGGGATCAAGAATGGAAATAGAAGCGAGGGAACGGGAGAAAAAGAGTATGAACACGAGTGGGGAACAAGCGAAAGCGGGAACGGGAGCAAAGTGGAGGAAAGCAAGAACGGGCGAAAAAGAAACGGAATGGGTATGGAGCAAGAGCGAGGGAACGGGATCGAGCGAGGGAATGGGATCGAGCGAGGGAATGGGATCGAACGAGGGAACGGGATCAAGAAAGGGAACGGGATCAAAAGAGGGAACAGGATTAAGAGTGGGGGTGAGACCAAGAGTGGGAACGGAATCAAGAATGGAAATAGAAGCGAGAGGAACGGGAGAAAAAGAGTATGAACATGAGTGGGGAACAAGCAAAAGCGGGAACAGGAGCAAAGTGGAGGAAAGCAAGAACGGGTGAAAAAGAAACAGAATGGGTATGGAGCAAGAGCGAGGGAACGGAATTGAGCGAGGGAACGGAATCGAGCAAAGGAATGGGATCGAGCGAAGGAACGGGATCAAGAGAGGGAACGGGATCAAGAGAGGGAACGGAATCAAGAGAGGGAACAGGATTAAGAGAGGGAATGGGATCAAGAGTAGGGGTGGGACCAAGAGTGGGAACGGGATCAAGAATGGGAGCGGGATCAAGAATGGAAATAGAAGTGAGGGAAACGGGAGAAAAAGAGTATGAACATGAGCGGGGAACAAGTGAAAGTGGGAACGGGAGCAAAGTGGAGGAAAGCAAGAATGGGCGAAAAAGAAACGGAATGGGTATGGAGCAAGAACGAGGGAACAGGATCAAGCGAAGGAACGGGATCAAGAGAAAGAACAGGATCAAGAGAGGGAACGGGATCAAGAGAGGGAATGGGATCAAGAGAGGGAATGGGATCAAGAGAGGGAACGGGATCAAGAGAGGGAATGGGATCAAGAGTAGGGGCGGGATCAAGAATGGGAGTGGGATCAAGAATAGAAATAGAAGCGAGGGGAATGAGAGAAAAAGAAAGGGAAAGGGTATGAACATGAGTAGGGAAACGGACAAAAGCGAAGGAACGGAAGGAACGGAAGTAAAAGTGAAGGAACAGAAGAAGCGAAAATACTTACCCGAATCTTGAAACGAAAAAATATACAGTACAGAGAGACACGTAAAATTTGTATGGTTAAAATTTTTTTTCTGCACAATAAATTTTTTTTTTTTTTTGGCGGTGAACGGGTGTTCAATGTCGGGTTTATAATAAATAAAATAATATATTAAAGTTTTATCGAAAAACGAAATATAAAATATGGAACAGATTTTTTTTTAAAAAAAAAAATAGTCCAATCGAAAAATAATAATTTATTTTAATACTAATTTAAAATTAAAAAAAATATTTTTTAAA